CGATCCCACAACCCTGAGATCATGACCTGAGCCAAAATCAAGAGGTTTAACCAACTGAGCCACCCAGGTGCCCCCTTGGTCTGGCATTTTTTAAAAAAAACATTTAGTGCTACATGTATGTAATTTGAAAAACTATATTACAAAATATATTACAGAAATACTACATCATCCTTGTGTAAGATCATGGGATCATGACCTGAGCCGAAGGCAGACGCTTAACGACTGAGCCACCCAGGCGCCCTTAAAATGCAAGTACTCTTGAGATCAGACATACGCACCAAAGTAAATCTTAAGAATTCCTTACATATTAATGCCTACTAAGGTAATTCTTTTCCACAGGGATGTTTCATGACTGGTTTGGAATAGAGAGGACAGAAGAACATTTGAGGACTTTGAAATCACCACTGAAGACTTGGAAAGGGGGACTAGAAGGAAGAAAGGGGATTAGTAAGGACAGCATGAGCATGTTGCAGGTAAATTTCACCTCCCTCAAGCTTTCTACTAGAGTTGACACTACTTCCACTCATGTATATTGATACAAACTCAATAAAATAAACAAGTAAATACAAAAAGTGGAATAAAACACTGATCTTCATTTCAATTTGGGGGGATCTTCTCCATGGGAGGGTACTAGGAATTGCAACTTTGCCTATGATCAGATGTTCTATGGGTATGATCAAGAAGGCAGAAGGCTCTAAAATAACGTAAGTCTACACAGTCGGTCACAAACTGTGTCCTGACATGCCATGGCTAGCGGCCTTGAGGATTTCAGTTGTACTCAGCTGGACAAAAGGGAAGAATCAGAAGTACTAAGGACCAAGAATGAACTCACTGATATTTATGAGGCATTTAAAAACTAGTTTTATTATTTATAGAACCTTATTCAGAAATTGTCCTCACACATTTCTTGCTTGAGTTGCTTAAATCACATACACACACACACACACACACACACAGAACCATTCACACTCCCGTGAATACACATACTATACAACCCTGGTTTACATTAAATCAATTATATACACCTTAACCATAGTTATTATGGGCCGTGGGGGGTACTGAGTGACTAAGTATGGCTGGGTACTAGACATCCAGTGTCTCCCCTAGGAAACCAAATACTACTTCTTCCAAGCTCCTTACTTCCTCAAATATAAATACCTTTGTTTTCTCATGCTTATTATAAATTCTGAAAGTACAGGAAAATACAGAGAAAAAATTTAAACAACTGTAATTCCACCCTTCATTTTTACATATATCCATCCAGAATTTGTCCTATACAACTACGCCCATACAACTGTATCTCTCTATTTCGAACACCTTGTTTCACAACTGGCATTTTTCTGGTAGAGGTTATATATCTTATATGTACCTTATATATCTTATAAATCTGCCTCTTTCTAAGGACTGAATATGATTCAAAATTTTAATATGTTACATTTGAGTTGCCCAATCCCATGTTGATCAGGGGATTAGATGGTTTTCAAAACCTTCTTGTTCTACATAATGCCAAAATGAACATAATTTTTCTACTTTTTAAGCACTTGTCCAAGCACTTCTAGGACAAATTCCTAGAAGTGGAATCAGTAAGCCAAAGGCATTCCCTGTTTAATTTTTAAGTCTTTTGATTTGTTGCAAAACTGGACTAAAAGAAGGGTGTACCAGTTTATAATTGTCCCGTAGCAGAATGAGGGTTCATTTCCATACAACCTTCCTTCAATCTTGCTGATATTTATTAATCTGATAAGAAAACAAGGTGTCTCACTTTTGGTTTAATTTTCATCCCTCAGTTAAGTGAGAGATCAAATTATTTTTTTCTTATATTTCCAGTGATTCATATTTTGGACTTTTGGGGTGTGAACCGCCTGTTCATGTCCCTTGTCTGTGTTTTTCCATTTGGGGTACTAGACTTTTCTACCTCTAAGAACACATAATTCAATTTGACTTTCTTTTTTCCTGTAACCTCATTTTGGATCTATAGAGCCACTTAAATATAATTATTTTGCTTAATCTAACCTAAACTCCTTCCCTTATCTACCCCGCACCCCCACATATACGATGTGTAGTTTCATGTTTTGCTTTACTCACCCAGAATAAGAAATGGTGAATGTGCAACTATGATCACAAATGGCACCCCGATGTACAACATCAGGCCAAAGCTGCTCACCACCGCCAAGGC